ATATGCACGGGAAATTCTAAATAAAAATATAATCCAAGTTTTGATAGCAAATTAACAACATGTACCATGTGGTTTTACTTTGTAGCAACACTTTCTTTTCCAAGGGATATCACGATGATGGTGTATGCATACGGCGTGCGGCTTCTTAAACTCCTGACCCAATGTGTGCGACTTGGTCAACATTCGGATGGACATGATCATTACCTCGTGTGTTGTCATTGTTGTAGTTTGGGAAAGCTCGGGATGCCAGACTTCATGCATTTTCTAAAATCATGCTCTATATTATGGTTCCTAGCAGACACAAATCTCATGTCTGTCTTCCATTATGTAGCATCCTTGTGATAGTTGTTGTCGTAAACATTGCAAGTTTGAGTCTTTCAAGTAAAAAGCAGGAGGGAAGGGACCACTTTAGACCCTCTCTAGTAGGACTTGAGGTTATAAAAAATAGTGAAGCAAGGGAAAGCTTCTAGCTATAAAATAGCTTCAGCTTCACCGTTTTTTGCTTGGTTTAGCTTCAAAAGTTGTTATCGTAGAGCCCTAACAAAACCCCGCCAAAGAGTGGGTGGTCAGTGATGAAGTTGAGGGTGTTAAGTGGGTGAGTACTTTGGTGCGGGATCAGCTTTTGTTGTTGCCGGTCTTCTCAGGGAGGGCTTAAAGTCCTACTTGGAGAATGTGGAGCTTCTACTATGGCTTGAATCGATGGGAAGATAGTTTTGCTCAAGACACCCTCACAATATACGCTAGTTGCTAGCTCTAAGACAACTTCTTCAGTTGTATTAACTTTTATCACATAACTCATAATATAAAATAACCACAAATACAATCCCATATGATCTTGAAATGCGTGCATGAGATTAGCTCTTGATCAATAAATAGTTTCTCTCTCTTCTGTTAAAATATGAAATAACATATCTAGAGCTAGCTCATAAGCCACTATTGGAGGCGCCATTAGGTAGGTATAATTTCCCTCGTATGGGATTTTGGAGTGCCACCCAATCCTTCGATTGATCGTGAGGATCAGTTGGAACGTGTATTTGGTCTTAACCGTTGAGTTTGATTTGTCATACCGTAGTCTTTTGGACCACACTACTGCGAAGTTAGGTTTTATCGACTCAACGTCTCTCAAGGATCATTTCTTCCTTCAAGGAGAAGAAATGCAAACCCAAGGAGCTAGGGGTGTCCTAGACTGAGGCTGCACAATGAACAAGTTGAGGGTAAGTCCTTAGGTTTGATTCCTCGGTTCATGTCGTCCACCAATCCTCAACTAACCCTTCTCTTGCATAGATGTAGCCGATAGGATTTCTGTGCTTGAGGCCGAATCAACGACCCTAAGAAGGCAGGTTACAACCTTGAGGCTCGGCAAGTCCATTGTTGAGTAAGAGAGAGAGAGAGAGACCTTCCATCGAGGATACATTGAATCATGCCCATGCGAAGCTAGAACAAACTCAAGTCCCTTAGGCAAGCTATTGAGACCATTCCATGTACTTTAACCTTTTTAGTCCTCACCTGCATTGTAGTCAGTCCATTGCCAATCACTAGCGATCGTCGCTTTTGTAGAGCTCCGATGAAGGTTTGGCTACATGTATGAGGCACTCGACATAGTAAGGGCCGTCGCCCGAGGCCACAACTGGGGCAGGGGGTGAGATACCGTCCTTCACGACAATGCAGCCCTTAACGAGACAAGGGCAATCATAGAGAAGTTGAAGGCTATGGGCCTGTTTGGTTGGTTATCAAAACTCGCCACACCAAAGGTCAGTCATGCCACAGTTTTCTCGGTAGCTGTTTGGTTTACTACCGCAACTGTGGCGTGCCATATTTTCTTAGCACCCCGTTTCACATATCATTTTTTGCCAAACTTTGTCACATGTGTGGCTTCGATTTTGCTCGCCATAGTTCTAAAAGGTCCTAATGGCTAGAGGGAGGGTGAATAGCCTAATAAAAATTTCTATAACAACACTTAGCAAACCGGTTAGACAATTATGAGGCGAAGCAAGTGTTGCGCTAGCCTACTAAAATTGCAAGCCACCTACCACAATTCTAGTTTATATAGTTTCTATCCACATAATAGCTATGTCACTACACTAAGTTAGTGTGCTCTCAAAGACTAACTAAAGAGTCACACTAACCAAACTAACAAGCTCTCACAACTAGCTACACTAAAGAGCTTGACAACTAGTTTGCGGTAATGTAAAGAGAGAGAGAGTAAGATGGTTATATCGCCGTGTCGAGGAATGAACCAATCAATCACAAGAATCAATATCAATGAAGACCAATCACCTCGGAATCAAATGATGACACAATGATTTTTTACCGAGGTTCACTTGCTTGCCGGCAAGCTAGTCCTTGTTGTGGCAATTCACTCACTTGGAGGTTCACGCGCTAATTGGCATCACACGCCAAACCCTCAATAGGGTGCCGCACAACCAACACAAGATGAGGATCACACAAGCCACAAGTAATTCACTAGAGTATATTTTGGCTCTCCGCCGGGGAAAGGTCAAGAATCCCTCACAATCACCACGATCGGAGCCGGAGACAATCACCAACCTCCGCTCGACGATCCTCGTTGCTCCAAGCCATCTAGGTGGCGGCAATCACCAAGAGTAACAAGCGAATCCCACAGCGAAACACGAATACCAAGTGCCTCTAGATGCAAACACTCAAGCAATGCACTTGGATTCACTCCCAATCTCACAAAGATGTTGAATCTATGATGGAAATGAGTAGGAGGGCTTTGGTTAAACTTACAAGGTTGCTATGTCAATGCTAATGGCCAAGAGAGTGAGCTAGAGCCGGCCATAGGGCTTAAATAGAAGTCCCCACGGAATAGAGCCGTTGTACCCCTTCACTGGGCACTGCTCGGGGTGACCGGACGCTCCGGTCATATTGACCGAACGCTGGACCTCAGCGTCCGGTCGCCCGATACTTGCCACGTGTCATCGGCTTCAAACGCTGATCGCCCGATCTCAACGGTCATCGGTACATTTAAGTAGTGACCGGACACGTTGCTTAAAGTGACCGGACACAGGAACACCAGTATCCGGTCGTTTCCAGTAAGGTACCAGAAGCGAAAAATCACGACCGGACGCGTTCGGTCATGCTCGACCAGACTCACCCAGTGTCCGGTCACACAACGTCTCCCCTGTGCGCTGCATATGTCATTATACGTCATACTGACCGGACTCAGGCCCTGAGCGTCCGGTCATTAGACCGACACCGCACGCTCACTGCTACCATTGACCGGACATGCCGGTCCTACTGAGATCAGCGTCTGGTGACTTACAATGACCTCCGTCTTTTATGTATAGGGCGCCGATGGCACCGTCGGACTGTCCGCACTCTACGGGCGGACACTCCGCTGGTGAAGTTCCTAACCCTTGCTCAAATGTGTGAACCACCACCAAGTGTATCACCTTGTGCACATGTGTTAGTATATTTTCATAAACATTTTCAAGGGTGTTAGCACTCCACTAGATCCTAAATGCATATGCAATGAGTTGGAGCATCTAGTGGCACTTTGATAACCACATTTCGATACGAGTTTCACCCCTCTTAATAATATGACTATCGATCCTAAATGTGATCACACTCACTAAGTGTCTCGATCACTAAAACAAAATGACTCCTACCATTTATACCTTTGCCTTGAGCCTTTTGTTTTTCTCTTTCTTTTTTTCAAGTCCAAGCACTTGATCATCATCATGGCATCACCATCATCATATCATGATCTTCATTTGCTTCACCACTTAGAATGTGCTACCTATCTCATGATCACTTGATTAACTAGGTTAGCACTTAGGGTTTCATCAATTCATCAAAACCAAACTAGCGCTTTCAAGTTCGCCGAAGATGAGGCGTGGCAAACTATGACACCAACCAACACAGGCCCTATATCTCCATGAGTGGGGCAAGTGCCTGTGGGCACTATCCGTAGGGGAACAATTCAACTTGGCAATAGGCTATATTCTTTTTGCCGCCGGCGGTATATATATTGAATTTGAATATTTCAATATAGTATGGATATTAAATATCTAGATTCAAATACGATTTATACATTTAGTATCTTAGATGGCCGGTAAGAAAAATATTGGTACCATTTACACCTTTACATATGGCAGCGTGTAGAACCATGATGCGAGGCGTGAGGGTGGTTGTGCGTACGCTGAGGCCGATGTGATGGTTGAAAGCGAGGATTCCCCCAATCCACACGATGTCAAGGGTGGGGATGAGGGATTGCTCTAAACTTGCAAAACGATTATTTACTTTGTTCATTCTCAATGAAGAATTTCATAGCATTATTTCCAAGAATACGAAATACAATAAAATATGGATGAAATAATCTCTCAATACATACTTTTATTCTTTTGTTTCATAGATATTTAATTTCATGACTCATCTAAAAACCAAACCAAGAGAGCTTCATCTCTACGAAACCATTTCTTCTCTCTTTTCTTAAAAACATTGTCGTATCATCAAAAAATGCTTATGTGTGGCAACCTATTAATAAATGTAGATAAAACTGTAATGAAATTTTCTACCGAGACTTGCCTTATCATATCACAGGTACTCCTGCCGCTGTGAAAAGCATAATACGAAATCTAACGAACTCCTGCGTAGATTAGATCCTTGGCATAATGAATAGAATATATCTGCGCGACAGGTCATTGATGGACCTGTAGACCCTTTTACTGTTAATGGAAAGATCAAATTGTGCAGCAGTTATGTTTCAACGCTTTTGCAATTGCAGATTGATGTTCATACTTCATATACAGGGACCAATTGTTTTTCCTATATACCACCAAGGCACCAACACAATGGCTGGATTCTCCAGACCATCTGAGAGAACAAAACCAAACATCTGAGCAACACTGGCGCACCGGCGGTGGACGATCTCTTCCGGATCGGTCTCTACCGCCGGCAGTATCTAGCCTCAACTCTCCCTTCTCTGTAAATGGCAAAGAACAGCAAAAAGAATCCGATGTCAGCTTTGTCGGGTCAGCTCATGGCCCAACCCTGATCCGCACTTTCTTGGCGTGCATCTCGGCGAACTCCACCTCCGAGATCTCTGAGTTGGTCGACGACGTGAGGTGCCGCACGGACAGGCGGTCGTCGCCTGGGTGGCGGGCGTTGGTCGCCACGAGCACGAGCAGAATCAGCAACACCATGGACGCGGACAGCGCGGCGAGCGCGGCCCACGCAGCGCGCGCGCCGCGTCGCAGCGGGGCGCACTGGTTGCCCACGATGTCCGCGAAGCCGGCCTTCACCAGCTCACAGCTCACCAGCCGCTCCGTGCCCGGGAAGATGTCCAGCACGTTCTGGATGGAGCTCGTGTACGACTGCACCTTGTCGTAGTCGATCGCCGACGAGAGGTCGGCCGGGCGGCAGTTAGCGCCGCCGCCGAAGTCCGAGCACGTCAGCCTCTTCAGGATCTTTACGACAGCAGGCAACGCCATGTCAAGATCAGCAACAATTGACCATACATACACATTTGTTCTGGAATCTGAAACTGTAGCTACGGTTGTGTTCACCTGCGGGATGTCACCGATGGTGGCGGCGCCGGAGGGGCAGTTCTCCGCCCTGTACTGGTACTGCGGCGGTCCCGTGAAGGGTTGCAGATGTAGTCCAGCTGCTTCACCGGGTACTCTGATTTGATCGTGTAAATGTTTGAATTCACCTGGTCAATGATGTCATGGATGCCTGCACCGACGTCGTGCAGGATCACGTCAGCGGAGAGCTTCTCGCTGCAGGGTATGATGGTGCCCAGCGTGCTGTTCTGAGGGTTCAGCTGGTACTCGTCCAGGGCGACACACGTGTCCCCGGCAAACTTGTCGAAGAAGTAGTACAGACCGAAGTACATCCAGAATAGGGCTGTCAATATCCAGCAGAAGGCCATGCACCTGATGCACACGGATCCAAGTAATCAGAATGACATAAAGGACTGAGAGGACACAAGGTTTCAGTTTGTATCTTCAGATGGGTTTTCTGAAATCTGAAGGTAAGATACTCACAAGCAACACAGCTTTTGCAGCCTTAGAGGCCTCCCTACTGCAATTTTCAGGGAAGCAGTTGTGTTAGATTCAGCTATACTAGCAAGACTGCAAGGTAAATGTTGCATACTGAAAAATATTGCATCATATTCACTTACCCAGCAACACCAGTAGTGCGACAAGATTCAGCGTCACACATAAAATTGTCACAAGTTCCCTGAAAATCATTATATGTCTTAGTTCCAGTGCTGATTAAGAAGTACCATAAGGAGCATCACTCTACTGATCTAGCTATGATGTGAAAAGCTCTTACAGAATCCTGATTCCCTTGCTAACCAAGCGCATGTTCTTCTCTGCCTTCGCCTGAATCTCCACGGCTTCGGAGTTGAGCGCCTCAACTGTGGAGTTCAGATGATCCCAAGCTTGGCTGGTGTAGTTGTACAGCTTTGATGTGTTCTGCATCTTCTCAATGGCACCTGTTATGTTGAAAATTGTTGCTGTAGCCTCAAGTGCAGTCGTCCCGATTATCTCTTTCACAGATTCTGCTCTTGAGTGGAATTGTACCGTGCCACGAAGCGCAACTGCTGAAGAAACTCTGCAAATAAAATGCCAGAGTAGATTAATAACTGCATTGCTTCATATGTTTGCAGAAGAGCAACAATTATACAGCTGAAATTTAATTTATTCTTGGTGTAACACCGCAGCTTACATGACGAAAACTGTAAGGAGGATACAGAGTATCACAGTCAAAATTTGATATCTCTCAAGGAAATAGTCGAAGTCAGTGTATCTTTCTTTCTTTTTTGGGAAGAAAATCTTGGAGACGAGAAGAACTACAACAAAAATGATGCCACCGATAATCCATAATCCTGACATCACATATCCAGATCTACCTGTAAATATGGCCGACTGGAAAAGTAAACAAGACAATGATCAGTTTTAATCCTGGCATGGATTTAATGTTATGTCTATCAATATACAAAGTGATTTTTGCACATTGAAGAAAAGTACTATGATTATGTTTTTAATACATATTTCGTATTATAATACGCTCAGTATCTAAAAGGCTGCATAGTATGTTCAGAGTTCAGAGAAAATGGTATGTTCAGAGTTTAGAGAAGCACAGAGAGCTTACACTCCAGTAGTGCTTGTCAGTGATGTTGTACCCTCCTCATATTTCCTCAGTCCTTCAAGAGGATCAACTCTCCTCGTTCTTCTTGAGAGCACACTCTCTGATCTGTTTCCCAACTCTGACAAATTCCTACCCACTGATCACCCAAGCAACAAAGATAAGGTACCATATTCACATATACTTCCGACAAGAAAAATGTCAAATAGAACTGTACAAACAACATGAAAGAATAATGCAGTACAGATAAGCACAATGTCAACTAGTAGAACAGTTAACCTCTTGAAATATTTTTATTCTAAGTAAACCTATCTTGCATGTTACCGCTTGCGATAGATTTTGCGAGGTTTATCTATGATATGATACAAATGAGGAGTTAGTCACCTGCTCCAGTGTGAGTTGAGCTTTTGGTGTGTTGCAGAGTTGTTTGGGCCTGAGCTTGTGCGTGTAGCCTGCATGTGATTGCCGCAATGCAGCAGAGCAGGAACACTAACCGCTCTAACCTCCTCGGTTCCATGCTAGCAAGCTGCCATCAGAAAAGCTCCAAGAATTACACTCCGATCTCGATTCAGATATATGAAGACCGAGCGGAAAAACTAAAAGACACGATGCAATAGATCTGCAAAGAAGTAAGCTTTTTGCATGCGCGAAGGCGTAAGCTCTATTTGCAGTTACTGGCACACTGATACAGATAAACCATGGCACTGTACAGTTCAATTTGGTTAGGCTGAGCATACATGACTGCTCCTCCAGTCCTGCCTAAGTGGTCAGAACGTAATAAATTCTAATTTCTAATGTGGCGTCGTTGGACACAGATTTCAGACTGACTTATTGGAAGATGACCTGACTTCCTGTCACGTTGTGGGCTGCTGAATTTGCTTCCGTGCCTAACTTTAACAGGTGCGAGTCAAACAACAGTCATGGCGGGAATGTTACTCCGTTGAATACGGTGAGATTGGCAGTGCTATTTTCACACCAAGAAGACTGAAGGAATTTCAAGGAAAAACTGAATTCCAGACATATGGATGACTACTGACACGTGAAAGTTTGAAATTCAGAATGGCGTTACAGATATTTAGACACCAGCAGCAAACTATCAATATCTAGCCTTTACTTTAACACTAGGAGAAAAATGGGAACAAAGTGCAGTGTCAACACGCACTGGATTTATCAAATTTCCTGTCGTAGTCAATCGTAAAATTAAAACCCCCCTTCAGAGAAGTAGGAAGCCATGAATGAAAAATTGAAAACAGAGCGAGAGAAGATGCACGGTCTCGAAATGTGAAATGATCACAGGCAGGGCAATTCAGTTCTTATTACTTCAGAAACGGAAAATAAGCTTTCTTTGGCCGGGTCGCAACTACTCAAATCAACAGAAAACCCCGAAATTTCTACTAGCAAGCAAGACGGACAAGGAAAACGTATTCTCCAAATACACACTTCACAAAAAAAAGAGAAAGAAGCTAGCAGGCTCGAACAGGAGAACAGGGCACCACGAATTCTAAATGCGAAGCCTGAGCAGGAATACATGGAATCGCAAGCTCTGAAACTCACCTGGTGCAGAATTCTCGCCTGCTCCCATGCAAACGCAGCTCCTCTGCTCTTGTAGCCGTCGCAGAAGACTGAGAATTGCAGCAGAGCGCCCAGAGGCCGCCGCGCGCTGTCTCCCAGGCTCCCAGCTACCACCTTCCTCCTCCTGCTCAAGTCCCTCTCACCATTTACTCCAAACTCCCAAACGTGGCCTCCCTTTCCTAGTCACGCATCATACAGTTGAAACCACCTCCGACCCTTCTCTTCTCTAGAACGAAGTCCAACAAGGCCACCTCTCCGTCTCTCGCCGTGTCAAACGCGGGCACCTGAGATGGCTTCCCTTTCCAAGGCACTAACACCACGCATGCCTCTGTGTGTGCGCTTATATACTCGGTGATGACGATGAGTGAGCAGCAAAAGGAGGAGGAGGCGATCGACGTGGACACGGACGAAACACGGAAGCAAGCAAGGGAGTCTGTCTGAAATCTAATAAAGCGGCATGCTTTCCTTGTCCATGGAGGAACTGGTCCGATGCGATGCGCTGCACCCGGCCGGCACCGGCAGGCTGCCGCTGTCTGCAGGCATGCACGCACGCTCGCTCGCTGCTGCTGGCTCACACCAAATCCCCCCAGGCCAAGGAACGAATGTTAAAGCAGGCAAGCGATCGATGACGACGGAGACAAAGAATAGAAAAGGGTTTGAACAACTATTATCGCTCCAAATCCCATGGATTTGTTTCATTCAGTTTCTGCTCTTCTCTTGTTTAGGATTTCTTTTTTCAGTTACCATCTTTCTCTCCTTCCTTTCTGCCGCTGCAGCTTCCTTCCTTCAAAGCCGCGTTTGTGTGTGTGTGTGGAAGTTGGCAGGACAGGAGGAGCCGGGGGCACCGGGGCAGGGATAACGGACAAAGTTGTAGACCGGTGCAGTTTTGCAGAATCGACCTCAGGGTGTTTGTGATTCCCACGACGATGCATAAAATTTCTGAAGAACACGCTACAGAATCGAATGCATAGAAATGGTTCAACGACGACACACTGAAATGAAAAACTGTTCAAAGTATTACGCGGTTTCTGAAAAGACAGAGCGTACCTTACTCAATATGGCCTAAATCCCACGGCAGAATTTTCTAATAACGTTGTATAATTTCAGTACCATCCATGCAATTTCTGAAAAGACAGAGGGGTTGCGCATCAAAGAGAACCGCAGGCACAAAGAGGGGGCGAGAACGATTCTGCCGTGTTGCTTTCGGTTTCACCTTTTGCATCTTTCCTCCTTGCGTTCACAGTGGCGTAGGAAGCTGAATTTTTTTTTGACCTTGGAACCAAAAAAAAAAAAACTGGCCCCTTCGAACTAACAAGCACAATTATTAAATATCTATACCGGTGCCTCTATCAGTAGTCTTAGTGCTAGTGGGAATGCTGATTAGGTTAACTAGACAACCGAGGTCAAAGCTTAAAAGCCTCCTATTTGAAGGAAGAGCTGAATAGGATGACCAAAGAAAGAACCTCCGTGGGGCCCACACAGGAGGTCAGTTGGATTCTATGTGGATCAGGAATAACTGAACTAACTAGTTTTAGGAGTATGTTTACTAGGTTACCTTGACCAAACAAAATTTTTAGTAGCATTTGATGTCCCAATAAATATAGACCAGTTGTAGTTTTACAATTTTTATTTCTAAGCCAATAAGTAGCCGACTTAGCATGCAAAGGAAGCTTTTAATATTCCAATTGAAATAATTTCTGGATTATGTAAAAGTCTACAAGTTCAAGTACATATTAATAGTGATGACTATTGTAGGATGTGTTGATTATTGCGCATAATCAATAGTGATGACTCTTTCTACATAACCTCACTTTTTCCTTGCTTAAGCAGAAGGCATAACTCGTGCCATTTGCGTTAAAAGAAAACAGTGAACTCCCATTTCATACAAATATTAAGAGAATATGAGATATAAAATGTGTTCACAGTGACGACTAACAACCATAGTTCATCAATACATCAAACTAGTCTAGATCGAGATCGAAGTCTCTAGATTTCGCTGGTGAGCCCTTGTAGAGGACAAACAACAGGAATAGCAAAGTGGTTGAACGTGGGTGGCACTAGTGAGCTCAATCTTGCCATAGTCGACACCCTCCTAGCCCTAAGGCTCATGTAACCTCTGACTCCTCCAACGGTGTCAAACTAATTCCTAGTAAGTAACATATACTCTACCAATCATGACTCTGATTTGTTGCCTCTCGTATTTTGGATTGGCAATTGGTGTTTCCAATCCATGCAACTTGTCCAACTGCTGCTAGTGCTGGTCAAAGGAGACAGCATGAGGGTGGCCAAATGAGCCAGAGTTAGGTTGATGAGGTATTATCGGGTATTGGTGAGCTATCAAGCCATGTGAGAATTTTTTCCTAGGAATTTCATTGAAGAACCATAGGGCACAAATCCTTTCCTGTTGAAAGTTTTCCTAGGGAGTTTACTTTCCCTATTGTTATTTGGCCTTTCCCTAGGAGTTTAAAACTTATGTAAATCGGGGAATTCCAGTAGTGAAAGGGTTTGGGGCTTAGTCGGATTTTGGTGGGCTACTCTCTGCCTTTATCCACTCCATTTCTATCCCTAGAACCGATCATATCCATTTCCATGAAAACATATAACTAAATTAAGATTTCAATTAAACACATGCTACACATATATGGAGGTACGATGCAAAGGAGAAAACTATGAATATGGATTGAAAATGTATATAGAGTAAGTAAATGATAACTAAAGTTTATACAACATGGTGAAAAATAACAAAGTATGTGTATATCAATAATACTCCCCCATTCTAAATTGAAAGATGTTTTGACTCTTATAGATACATTGCTTTTACTATACATCTAGAACATAGTATATACCTAAGTGCATAGCAGAAGCTATGTACCTATAAAAGCCACAAACGTCATCCAATTTAGAATGGTAGGAGTGTGTTATAATATGAACAAATTAGAGAGAGGAACCGGCCACAAGTTTGCCTATAATTTTCTAACACTTATCTATCTTAATATATTAATATATAGCCAACTACATTCGTCCCAAAATAAATAAGGGAGTACCTTGATTACAGCAGATTTGCTCAGGATATACAAACATAGCACGTTATAATGCATCAACAGTAACCTAACATGTCATCATCACTCCATTCTACGTATCTTTTACATGGTACAAATTAAATGCGTGCTATTTTCTAAATGACAATGGGAAAAAATATCGCCGATAGTGAAAGAGACTAGAAATTATGTATAGTTGCCAGAGGACAATTTAGTTTCTTTTAGCAAAAATTAATTTTTTAATATTTGTTGGACGGTAAATCATGTTTAAACAACAAATATACACGAATTTGTAGTGGCACTGACATCGACCAAAGATTAGCTTTTTAAATGTCTTTGAGCAATTGCACTGTATTTTCAATCTACACAAGTCTAGTGGTTTATATGTAGACGTGTTGTAGGATGCGCGCACGTCACCCTAGCTAGCTAGTAGTCAAAAACCGGAACGATTTCGAGTGTTCTATATATTGGCTGAGCTGAAGGCCGAATTTGCCATTTTTTTAGGGGCGTTTGGCTACATACTACTCCGGAGTACTACATACAGCATACTTATGTAGGTCCTATTCGCTTGTCTTATAATTTGTATTTTTTAATTTTTTTCTTAGCCAGAACTGTATTTTTTTCTCACGATAAATTAACCAAAATAAAACAGTATTTCGATTTGTTTTTTTAGCGAAGCGAACCGGACCATATACAAAGTGGGTCGCCCTGCAGGATCCCGGCAGTTCCGATCGAACTCCCGCGACGACGGCTCCTTTTGTCCCGTAGATGACGACGCGCACGGCGGCGGGCAGCAGACGAACTCGGACCGGTGGTGCTTTATCTTCGGTCGACCGGCCTGCCTGCCGGTAGTGTCATCCGTCGCCGTCGTCGCCGACGCCGCATCGGATCGTCGTCGCTTTCCGAC